TAAAATATCTCCCCTCTACTCATGACCAACCATCTGATTTTAATATTAAGTCACACTCTATTCATCAAACTTATGGGAACTGCATTCTCAAGAACCCTACACGTGAAAGTCAGTCATACTAACCTTTTACACTCCAATCTGATATTGTGATTTCTAGTCCTCACCAAGCGGCAGTTACTCATTTCCCTACCTCTGTGGTTACTACTAAACATATCTGACATACCACTCCCACTCACATGTATAATCAGGGAGTGGCCCCAACACCTAGTGACCTTCATCTGGAACACCACCCTGCAATTTTTGCTGGGACAAACCGTGGACATCACTGTGGTTGAGACCACCCATCCCTTAGTAACATCAGGGTTGTTGCCCCACCTTTTAGGTCTTCGCATAGCCTTGATGGTCGACCCTCTATTGGGTCTTCTGTTGGATCATTCCCATATGACTCCCCACTTGGGCTGATTCTTAGCCATCCCAGTCAACCTTATCTGAGCATATGTCCTCTCTGCATGGTGGATCCCGATTTACCTCACCTCATGGGTGACGTTATCACCTTTCAATTCAAGGTGAATTATGAGGCTCCCCAATCTTTGGCCTACCCAGTCTTTGACCCTGCAAGTGTAATTTTAACCAAAAGATGCATTGCAAAGAAGAAGTCCCCTGAACCTGAAACTGAGTATGTCCATTTCATGGATACTAATGATATCACTGATAACGAGGACTTCTTTGATGATGAAACTGAAATGATTGAATTAGACTCGTTGCCTGACTTAAACCCTGATTTAGGAGATCTAGAACCTTTAAACCTTGATACCTTAACCCATTCGGATCCTAATCTCATCAAGAATATCCATTTGGATAAGGTTTGTCTGGACGATATTAATTTGATCTTGAAAGAAGCTTATCTGAACTTGAACACATTGAAATTAAATTCAGAAGAATCTGATTTAATTGTATCTCCTACTGAGATGACTCCGAATAATTCTGATTTAATTTCAGATAATTTTGATGGTGATGTGGATAATCTCGAGTTGAAAGTGAGTCAATTGAATTTACTATCTGAATTAAACCCCGATTTAATTGACTCTGAATCCATTGATCTTAGAGTTATAACCAAACCTGGTCCTATTGAGGATAGTAATATTTCATAAAACAATAATTTGAATCTAAAAGATTCTGAGTCTAATTTGAACAATGAGCCTCCTCTTGTTTTATTAAAGTCTATTTTAGGAGTTGCTCCTTTAGATTTACGTTTAAAAGAGTGTGTTTGTCTTGATTGGACTTATCTCATCGACTTTAATATTAGAGAGAGTATTAACATATACCTTCAAGCCACCTCTCTAATTGTTATGCCCACATCTATTCTAGACACTACCCCATCTTTTGACTCTCATACCTGTTGGTGACTCTTTGGGTTATCCCATTATGGTTGTGAGTCAAGACACATCGTCTTATCATATTCATGATTCCTCCATCATGCCCTCTATATTCTTATCCTCCATCAATGACAATGCTTACGTAGTGGATCTGCCTGCAGAGTTCAACATTCATCCTTCTATTAACATATAAGATTTAGTAACCTATGAGGGTCCAGAGTTTAACCCACCAAATTCACCTTAACCTGAGCCTTGTGCGACCCCACCCTATGAGAACCCCAGCCTACCTCCACTCTCAAATATTCACAAATTACCTATAGCGGAGAAGGTTGACAATATTCTGAGTGAAGACATTATTTCCACAAATGAAGATGGACGAGAAAGATATCTGATAAGGTGGAGAGGTAAATCAGAATCAAATGATACATGGTCAGAACGCCAAGAGCTATAGAGAATCGACCGAGATGCACGAGAGTTCTCGAGACATCCACTAGATGGAGTCGAGTTTTTTCCCACCTGGGGAGAATGATGAGGACATCAACAGGAGATAATGGCATGTTCATCAGAGGAGACAACGAAGATCAGCGGCTACGATCTGGATTTTATCTTTCTTATGTGTTTTATGTACTAGTTTATTTTATATTTTTATTTTTTCTACTTTTCCCCTAGGGGTGGTCATGTGGTGTTGTAGCCCGAAGGACATTTTAGTCTTTGTTTCTCTTTTTTTCATGAGGCCTATTTATAGGTTAGTTCTCTTGTATTTTGGGTTAATGAATGATTATTATGAAAATATTCTACATCCATGTGTTTGGAGAGAGCGCTTGAGAGTTCTAGGAGAGAACTTTGGTAAAGTCCCTTGGGGAAGGGCAATGGATCACCCATCAACGTTGGAAAAGTCCGAGTTCGTAGTTTTTCTTCCTATCTTCTTCCCTACCACTCCTCTCCCCTATTTCAACCGCCTCCCTCACGAGCCCACCCCACCACCGGCCACAAGGACCACCCCAACCCCACCTCCCAATCTCACAGCTAAACCCCATCACACCCTCCTTCCCACTCGACTTTCCCTCCTCCCATCCCAAACCGCCAACTACCACTAAACCCTAACCTAGCTGTCGGCCTACCCCTCTTCCCTTTGCTAACTTCTTTCCAAACTTGGGTTAAGGAGATTGAGAGGGAAACCATTCAAATTCTGAAGTCAAATTTCAGATTTGAAAATTTTCCTATTTTGCATTATCTATATTTGGAATTTTTTAACTCTCCAAGTCCAATTTAAAATTTGAATTAAGGGGAGAGCTGGGTCATCCATCCCTCCTAATTTAATTAATTCAATTTAGGAAACACTCATTAAAACTTCCCCCAAAAGCCCTCCCTCTCCTTGAAGCCGCCGGCCCCCCTCCCTTCATCATTCTCCATCCATTCAAACCACTTTCCTATTTGAGCCTATGGATTTGGCTTCGAATTCAAATTCAAAATTCAAATCAAATGAATTTGAATTTGTTTCCTAATTAGGAATACCCATTTTAGGAAAGTTTCCAAATCCAAATCCAAATCAAATTTTTTTTGGATTGGATTTAATTTCCCCTCCTTAAATTGGAATTCCCAAATAGGACAAGCACTAAAAACCTCTCTCAATCCCCTCTCTTCCTCTTGGAACCGCCGACCCCCATGCTCCCTCCCCCATTTAATTTTCTTTCCAAACTAGTGCTCCAATCAAAGGAATTAATTCCCTAACTTCCCCTCTTCGCTCTCTCTACCCGCCCCCACCTAAAACCTAACCTCCAAAACCAGACTCCTGCTGTCCAAAAGTTTCGCAAGGACTGTCACAGAGATTTCAGACGTCCATCTTGCTGTCCAACTGCTTGGAGGAGTCTCCATTCACTGTCTGATGATTTCTGGACATGAAAGTGTGTTGTTTGAGGTTCCTGCAGCCATTCACTGTTGTCCAAGACTCCAAGCTTGCGGGAAGATTGAATCGCAGCAAGGGGATCTGTCTAAGATCAAAACTGCTATTGTCCTGAAGTTTTGCACCTCTTCCCGATTGTTCATTGGTGCAAGAAGGCTCTTGGTGGTTGTTCACCTCTTTCCCAGCATTCAAACAACCTGCTAGAGTGCGTATCTCTCTTGTCTTTGGGTAAACTCGACATTCGAATCTCTATCTTCATAGTTGCATCCTTGATTGTTGTTTTATTATATTCATGAAAATGATGTCAATGCTTCTCCGCTAACACCTAGTAACTTGAAGAGTTGAGTGAGGGATCCGTCATAGTACTAATCTCATTGTTAGTCTAGGAATTTCTTGTTGAAACTTTCAATGTATACAATGTTAGATTAATTGATTGTTTTACGGTCTTAACTCCTATGCATGTGATTTGGCCTAAGCTTGTTTCACCGCTCTTTGTGTTTTATTTTGTCGTTCAAAATCAATATTAAGATATAATTATTGTGGCTTCTAAAATTAAGCGTGCGAGCTTATTTAATCAATTCATTCTTGCATTTATGTTCTACATCAATAATGATTGAGAATTCGAGTTGTTAAACCCTTATTCTTCATCTATTTCAGGATTTCAATCATTTATTAAGTCTGAGACTAGAAGAATTTCAATATATCTCCTCATACATGTGTGATACTTATTTTTTTATTTATCTTGAACTTTTTATACTTCATGCTTAATTGTTATCTTTCCTAATATTTTTCAAGTCATATTGTATCACAATGTCAAAAATATATTATTTAAGGAGAAACTTCAATAGATGTTATGCAAAGAAAAGTTGGTGGTCATATGAAATGCCAAAACAATCCATTATTATTGCAGAACTCTTAGGATATCTGAAACTCTTAGACAGTGTTCATGCTATAAATATTTCCCATGTTCTACTCTATATATACATATATATAATACGCAGGATTCTGGTTCCCTGTTTTCTTCAAAGTGTTCCTTCTTATCCTGCTGGTGGTGCATATATTAGAAAGAACACATTTGCATTTGCCCTTGTCAAGTCATTGGGTAGACATATATTCATCCCTTGGACAATTACCTAACCTGAGCAAATCACGCTTATTCAATTGTGTTAGCTGATGTGGTATTTATTAGGTGAGTATAGCCGTATAGGTAAGAAATATTTTGCTTCGGGGAGAATCACTAGCTTAGCCGATTAAGGATGTCATTTTGACTCTTGATGGGACCAGAGCAAGCTCCATCCTGAAAAAAAAAAAAAATTAAAAAAAGCAGGTTCCTAGGTTATCCCCATCATGTGTATGGCACCAGCTTATTCGTAAGCTCGCCCATTTCTGTTTCACTTATAACGTGGAAGTGGATCATCATTGTCTACGGTGTTTTGTTTATTTGACTAATGAAGTGACAAGTCCGGTCGTTCTACTTTACCAATAAATAAACAGCATGAACAAAAACGAAAGAAACCCTACTGAAATTTTATATACATTTGAAAGATCCTCAATTTCATGAGTATATATATCAGCTATTTCGCAGAAACAGTAAGAAATTCAGAAACAACGTTCTCAAAACCAACACAATGAGGTTCACGAAAAATGCAACTCGAATCATAACCAGTTACCTAAACATGGAGCAAGTGAACAAATAAGTGAAAGCGGGGCGATAGCGTTACCGAGCGTCCCTCAGAGGGGTCCCCTACGCATCCGGAGTCAACAAGGAGCTCGCCGATAGCCTCGTATGCTCCGTCTCCGTTGGTGCCGAAGTCAAAGTCCTCGTCGGCGAGGACGTTAATTATATAGTCGATGATGGGCTTATCGATCTCCTGGGCTCTCCAGCCCAGAACCTCGTGCACCACCGACGCGGCCACGGCCGGTGCCGTCATCTCCGCCGACAACCGTTTGCCGCAGAATAACGCAAGATGGCTCAGACCAACGCGCCGTTACGATGAGCGAGTGCGGCGACCTGGAGAGACCAGCCAGAATTGGCGTGGCTGCTAGGCTTTTATAATTAAGGTTTGTTTGGCTGCTCATAGGATTTTGTAAATTACGCAGGAGAAACGAGTGTAAAATGTAAATTAATTTAACTGCAGAGATTTTTAGAATATTAATATTTGATTTAAATTAAAATAAATATATTTTAAATTTTAGGTATATTTAGAATGTAAGTTTAATATCATAAATTTTTAATTATTGTCATCACCATTTACCAACATCTACCGCCACCGCTGCCCACAGGTGGTAGTTACCCTCCACCACTTTCATTGATCGCCGCCACCCGCCTTCAGCAGCCGCATGGCACCACTGTCATCCACCTCCGGCCACCACTGCTACTTTTAACCATTTAATATCGGCCACCATTGCAACTGTCGACCACTTACCAATACGATCGTTACTTTACACTGCATTCATGCTATTTCAAATCAAAAAATAATATAAAATAATTATTGACATTTATTTTACACTAATCTAAACACTTTATAATCCTAATTTTAATTGTAAAATCACTTCAAATTATAAAGATAAATACAATCTTATTTGGAATTGCAAGTAGGAAGTTCAAAGATTTAGGGATATGAATTAGATTTATGTGACAATTTAATTCGCCAAAGTTAATTCGAAAGTTAATAATATTTAACTTGAATAATTTTAGAGTAATTAAGACTTAATTTCATAAAATTTTGCACAAAAATGATAATTAAATTGATTGATCAATCATAACTTTTATTAAGATAGTAATCATAATTTAACAAATTATATAAGATGTAAGAATTTGGCTTGGCCGATTCAGTTGAACCAGCCCTAATGCGTAGCGGGGTGAAGCTGACGAGTCGAGCGAGCAAAACCGCGGGTCGAATGCTGGCATTAATATTAATAAAATAAGATAAATTGATATTTAAAATAAGATACTATGAGAGCTAAATAAGATATAAACTTTAACTGAAAATGTTAATTAAGAAAATTAATTATATAAATAATAAATTGAATGATAAACTTTAAAGAAATAGTAAATCTAAAATATGATAATAAATAAAATATTATTTATATAAAGAGAGAGAGACAGCTAATAGTTTTAAAATTAAATTTTAATTAGTGAATTGACTAGTTAATTAGAGAGAGTGATAATGATTTTAAGCAATAATATTTGAGATTTGAATTTGAAATTTAAAACAGCAGTTGAAAAATTAAGAGAAAATCATTAATTAAATTTTAATGACGTGGTTTTTATAAGCATTAGATCCACCAACGTTGGAATAAAGAGCAAAAGTAAAATGGCAATGCCTAGAATCTGGGTGAGTACTCATGTTTCTTTTATTACAGTATGAAATGCTATGAAATACAATAATACATGCTTATTAAGTCTTTTGTGTTAGCTAGATCATGTTTTGTCGTTATCATATCCAATGATTGATCATTTATGTATCATATTATTGTACAAAGTTAATGAATGTTATAAGAATGAAATGGCTAGATATATGTGTTTGTATGTGCATGTTTAATGATGGAACACACTCCCTTATAGTACTGACTCGGGACGTAATGTACCCGCACAGGTAAATGAGAAAAGTTATAAAAATGGAAAAGAAAAAAAAATAGATAAGAAGTACATTCATTGGTACTATTTTAGAAAGTGACTCATATGACAGTTGTATAATTTGTAAAAAAGAATAAAAATATTAATAAAAATATGATACATGTATAACATTGTTAGTTATATTTAAAATGAATTTAAATGGAATTATTTTATATTTGGAAATGAGCATGCATGTTGTTTCAAAAGCCTTGTGTTGCTGTAATTTAGAAGCATAATTTACTTGCAAAGTTATTTTATGATACTATCTTTTTATAAATAAATAAAAAATTTACAAGTATTATTTGAAAGCTTAAAATGAGTAAAAGAGAAGAGAATGCATATCATATGCAAAATGTATTGAGAGAAACGAGTTTATATCTTTTTTATTTTTAATTTTCAAAGTTTTTAGTGGCTCTTTTAGTTTATTGGTGATAATTTTAGCAAATGAAAATTTAATCGTCTAACTGACCGTCTATTTCAATCTCATTAATTCGAGCCTCCATGATGGATCGTGATATAAGCTTGATGCTTATAATCATAGGACATACTAGGACTGTAAAAATTGGGTCACGGGTTGGGTTCGGATCGAACTCGAAAATGACTCGACACTATTCGACCCGACCAAACCGTACCCATTTTTGCAAATGGGTCAACCGACCCAACCCATAAATCTGCCCGCACGCTTTGGGTTTGGCTCAGTTTACGTGCTAAGCTCGAGTAGCCGACAGCGAGCAACTGGAAAGGGTAGTGGCAGGCCAGTAGTGGCAGGCCGGTAGTGGCAGGCCGGCAGCGGCACGCGAGCTCCTCATGTCATCGCAGTTACTTCCGTTCTCAGGCACCTCGGCCCGATTTTACAAAACGGGTCCACCCAAATCAAATTACCCGTTGTCACTTCCGATCTCAGCATGTGGCAATGGTGACAGCAGCAGTGACTCTTAGACGAAGGGCAGATGTAGCCCGGGTTAGACAGACGTGATAAACAAAATGACGACTAACGATTTGACTAATATTGCGAGAAATGAAATGGACGCAACTCTGGTCAAACAGACACAACATAATCAGTTTTGGGTCAACCTAAGTTATTTTTGGGTTTCCAGTCAACATGAACCAAAAAAATTTGTGTCGGGTTCGATTCGAGTTTTCAGGTCGTATCAAATATTGACACCCCTAGCACATACTGTATTTATGCATGATAATTTTAATATAATCTCTATAAAGAATAGAATGTGTACACTACAGGAAAATGCCCTATTACTTGATCAAATCTGTCGGAATCAATTTTCCGACAAATTTCCAACGAAAACTCATACGACAGTAATTATTCGTGCGTCGAAAAATGTAAGCCAACAAAATTTTTTTGCCTAAAACATTTTCGATAGCATTTCTAGTGAAAAAAATGATGTTTATACATCGACTTTCTTTAGCGGATTTCGGTGTTTAATCATCCAGTATTTAATGTAGAAAAGTTATGCTGGAAATACTGGCAGAAAATCCGCTGCCCAATTCGTCGGATAGGTATTACCAACAAAGTTTCCTCCAAAAATTTCGGCGTAAACGTGTGCCAAAAATGCCATTCCTTTTTTTTTTTTTTTTGCATCGCATTGTCGACGGCGTTTTCGACAAAAAATTCATTAGAAAGTTGTAGCATTAAAAAAATAAAAATAAAAAATAAACTTCCGGCTTTTGAAACTTATTTCTACAATACAACCTTCATACAAAAGATCCAATATTATATACATTCAAACATACACCTCTAATAAAAAAACATCACAAATATTGAACATAAGCATATAAACATTAAAAAAAAAAAAGTCATCAATAAATATCCAATAATAAACAAGTACATATGTCCAAAAAATAAATAAGTACATATGTTCAAAAATAAATAATTACAGATGTCCATAATAAAATATATAACATCTACTCTTAATTAGTCTCATCCTTTGCTAAAGTTGTGTTCTTCCCATTGAACTGCTCTCTCATTTTTTTACATTTCATCTAACAATTGAGTTTGATGTATTTGTATTTGTTGTTGCATTTGCATTTATCAATCACCTTGTGCTTTCTTAACATGTTCTGGCTTGGGTGTAAGGGAAGCTACTTATTGGCTATATAAGGACTCTTGGGTACTTTATGAGAAGCTGGAGCCTCGAGATATATGTCCCTCGTATGAATAAGCTTGTGAGCCTAAATTATAAACTCTGCAGTGCTCCATTCCACCTACCGCTTGCGATCAAGTGTAATAGTTAGAATATATAATTATGCTTATCCACAAGAAAAACCTTCACCTGCTGCAGTCTGGCTCTCTATGAGTAGTGTATAGTACTCCTCATATAAAAGTTAATAAAAATTTAAGCAATTTAGACATGACATCAAAAATATTAAACTTATATACTTACATATGCTCTCATCGCTCGCTCATCAACTCATTGCTGGTCCTCCTACCAGTTATGGGTATGAATATGCAATTTAACTGGGGTCAGTTATCTACCCAGCACCTCTTTCTATAATAGATATATATTAGTATTCATATTAAAGTAAATTATTAAAATATTTTAAAATTCCTTACCAAACATCGTTTGTGCTCAATAAGTGGAATTGAACCCCTTGTATGAAGGGAACTACCCATACCCCCAACATCAGAATCTATGTTATGTCTATTTTAGTCCATTATTCTACTATACTCTTGGCTAACCCAAGCACTGTTAGACTCGGCCCATACACTCTTACCAATCTAGAGTGGTCACTCGTCTGACTTTTTAATATTTGTAAACATGTTTCGCATACGAGTCGACCAATGCTTCTCAAAATTATTTTTGAATTTATCATTCTGTTGTGGCAACCAACAAAAAAAAATCTATATTTAAAAATATGCAATATATAATATATATGTTTATTAGCTTGTGTAAAAAGATATAATACAAAATAAATTTATATAATAACTAACCTCGAAATCTAGAAACCACATGTCTCACACTTCTTTTAAGACATTTTTCCAATAAACATAAGGACCTTCGTACTTGCTATGTATTATGTATTGTATTTTATGCGTCGATTATTTTAATAGATGAAACTTGCAAGAAATATATTATGTGTCAAAAAAAATTTTCAAATTTATTTAAATGTTTACAATATAATAAGTATACACATGTCACCGTCAGGCTCAATCAACATGTGACCCTCTGTCTCCTGCTCTACTGTAGCTGGAGTAGACGTTCTACCTGTAGCGGGTTGAGGGGATGGTAGGGGATAGTATGGCAGGACACATGGTGGATATATATAAGTAGAAGGGCTACCATAAGGAGGTGGGGTGGGTAGTAAGGGTAGAAGGGGGCACTCTGCGTGATGTTTGACAAAGGAATGAGGGGGTCTGGTGAGTATAATTGTGGGCTACTGGTTGCAGAAGTATGTAAAGGCGGGCTAGGCTTTATTAATCCTCTGTG